ACTTTATTTGTTTTTTGATATTTTATAACTTTGGCCGAAATGGGGTATCGCATGATGGTTTTATATGAGAACTCAAGACTGCACTGTTAGGAGCATTTACGTCCACGTAATTATGGTGATGTGCTCATTAGAATGGCACTGTTTAAATGGAAATATTATTTATTAAAAAAATCGGTAATATTGACATTTGGGTGCACCGTGTTTGAAAAACTACTTTGAACTTAAATAATTAGGTAGATATTTAAATATTTAAAAAATATATATTTTCCATAGTTGATTTTAAACCAGTAAAGAAAGTCCTAAAGTCGGGCGGGGCCGATTTTATGATACCCTACACCACTTTGCTAATTTAGTTGAGCTCCACTTAATAATTAAAAGTTTTTATGGGATAATTCAATCATACACGCTATGATTATAATTATAATTTAAAATTCAAAGGACTAAATATGCCGAAGCATTTGTATCTTTTAAATTCGGACTTGTATTGCCCATTTGGTGCAAAATTAATTTGAAATCAGATAAAGATATATATGGGAACTATATCCAAATCTTAACCGATCTCGATAAAATTTGGCAAAGATATTTCTGAGCTGTATTTGATATATTTCCCTGAATATCGTTGTTACGGAGTGCATATTACGGCTGTAGGTAACAAATACAACAAATCGGATGAACAATATATATGGGAGCTATAGCTATATCTGAACCGATCTTCACCAATTTTGGCATACTACCTTCTAGACTAAATTCGGTCGTATGTGCCAAATTCCATCCCATTTGGGCAAATATTAGACGTTTGGTGCACAATAAAAGGTAAATCGGACGAAGTTATATATGGGAGCTATATCCAAATCTGAACCGATCTCTATAAAATTTAGCAAAGGTATTTCTGAGCTGCATTTGATATATTTCCCCAAATATTGTTGTTACAGAGTGCATATTACGGCTGCGGAGGACAAAAATAACAAATCGGATGAACAATATATATGGGAGCTATAGCTATATCTGAACCGATTTCGATCAAATTTCACATACTTATTTTTAGGCCTAATTTGGTTGTATGTGCAAAATTCCATGCTATTCGGGCTGATATTAAAGGTTTGGTGCACAATAAAAGGCAAAACGGACGAAGATATATATGGGAGCTATATCTAAATTTTGACCGATTATCTCCAATTTCAATAGGGTTCGTCCTTGGGCCTAACAAATGTTGTTTGCAAAATTTCATCTCAATCGGATAATAAATGCGACCTGCATTTTGTTCACAAGAATACGTGGACAGACGGACGGACGGACGGACAGACGGACTGACATGCATAAATCAACTCAGAAAGTGATTCTATGCAGATCATCAAAAGGAATTGTGGGTCTATCTCGTTTCCTTTTGCCTTTTACAAACAAATGCACAAAGACATAATACCCTGACCACCTTGTGGTGTAGGGTATAAAAAACTTTAACAAGCAAAACGCCATAATTTTTACATTTTTTTTTTAAATTTTATTGAATGAAAGCAAAAAATGTCGGGAACAGCATCAAATTTTAGAATAAGTTTAGATTTGTTCGAATTGGTCGCATTAGGCACGAATTATGGCCTTCAAACGGCCAAGAAACCGTCACACGATGCCTGAATGTTGTTCTGCGGTATTTTGGGCCATTTCCGGCGAAGCCCTTGCTTGAGGTGATTGACACTTTGGTATTTTTAGTGCCAAATTTGCTTTCCAAAATACTCCGGACACTATAGTCCAACGGATTGGTATCCGGAGATTTTGGTGGCCATTGTGAGCTGGAAATGAAGCGAAGAACCTCATTTTGTAACCATTCTGGGGTGCTGACTCCTGTTGGAATGTCAAAGGTCTGTGACCAAAATTTTGGCTTTCCCAAGGCTTTAATTTACCCTCCAAAATATTTTTTTTTGCGATATTTGGCATTAATTCTGATGCCATGGTCGATTAATACGAGCGGAGAGCGACCATGGGCTGTAATGGCGACCCACAACATCACCATGGTCGCCGCCTGAGTTCTGGTGGCCAACCAATGCTTTTGTACGCTTGTAAACAATATAATGAGCTGTCACTGGAATAATTTTAACAGCTGTCGGATGAGTTGCTTTGAAATGAGAGCAGTCTGAATTTGGCAGCAGTTTTTTCATCTCACCCTGTATATACATAAAAAAGTAGTGAAACAACTGACTGACTGACCTAGAATCAACGTTCAGACGATATGACTGAAGTCTTGATAGGATATAATTAAATTATAAGTACCAAGAATAAAAATCCTATATAATAAGGCTGGGATTTTGGGAAATTCGTACTGAAATAGTACGAAAAGTAATAAAAATTGAATACTTTGTATTGGATAAGCGGAATGAACTAGAATTCTGAAATTTGGAATGAGAGTCACTGATGTAGAGCTGGATAGATGTACCAAAGTGTTTTTGAAAATTCGAACTTTAAGCTTACGAAGAGTTCTAATGGTACTAAACATCCAAAATGGTACCATTTGGTATTACGTGAACAGATAAGGCTAAAAACTTAAAATTTGGGTAGAGAAGGAAGGTGGTTTTGGAAATGTGCACTTTGTGTGCGAACTGTGCTTAATGGTAATAAATTTGGAATAGTTTGGTTTAGGGTGAACGGATGAAGTTGGAATTGTGAAATTTTATATTGTGGTCTTTGTTGGTGGTAGGTTTGTTATAAAGAAGTTAGTTTGGAAATGCCTGGTACAAGTGCACGAAAAGTACTAATTTATTTTGGTACAATTTGATATTGGGTGAACAGATAGTGCTTGAAAATTGGTCGCTGTTCACGTGTAGTCCGGACATATGGAGGTGGTTTCGGAAATATGTACTATAGTAGGTTAAAAATAATTAAAAGGTACTAAAATTGGTATTGAGTTAAAGGTGAGAGCTGAAATCTCAAAATCGGAGATTGGGTTTTCTGTTGATATCTGAGGTTGAGATATGGAGACTGTTTTGGTTTTTGCGTACTATATTTGTACAAAAATTACTAAATGTGGTATTGGGTGAGGGAATAGAGCTGAAATCCTCAAATTTGAAGTAGATGTCACTGTTGGTGTCTGAGGTTGAAATTTAAAAATGCGTCATATATTTGTACGGCAAGTTCTAAATTTGGTACTGGATGAAGGGATAGAGCTGAAATCCTGAAATTTGGTATGAATGTCACTGTCGGTATCTGGGATTGAGATATGGAGGTGGTTTTGGAAATGTGTACTATAGCACTAATTAGTACAACAATAGTACAATTTGGCAGTTGGTGAACAGACAGTGCTTGAAATCTTAAATTTGGTATTAGGGTCTCGTAATGTGTAGGTGGTATCGTAATGTGTGCTATAATTGTATGAAATGTACTAAGGGTACACGTTTGGTATTGGGTGAAGGGATAGAGATAAAATTCTAAAAAATTGGAAATTAGATGACTAATGGCATCTGTGAGATTTGACGGTTGTTTGGTAATTTATACGAAAATTGACAAATGTTACTAAATTTCGTATTCGGTGAAGGGTGTTGAGCTAGAATTCTGAAATTTAATATTTAGGTCCCTGTTGGTATCTGAAATTGAGACGTGGAGGTGATTTTGGAAATGTGTACTATAAATGTATGAAGAGTACTAAGCGGTACTAAATTTAGTATTGGGTGAAGAAATAGATATCAAATTCTTAAAATTGATATTTTGATGGTATCTGGTACTTAAATGGGTATTGAGTACTCAAATGGGTATTGGGTAAAGGAATGGGGCTGGAATCCTAAAATTTGATATTGAAGTCTCTCAAAATGTTGATCCTTTGTGGGGGAGGTACCAGAAGGAGTGGTCCAACATATTCCACCTTCGTATCAGATCTTGTGTTGATATAGAAGTTATAATTATTCAACCCTTTGTGGGTGAGGTACTTGATAAAGTGGACCCATATTTTTCATTTTCGCAACTGACCGAGCTCTAATAAAAATATTACGATTTGCCAAGTTCGAAAAGGATTGGGTGCCTTTTTCGCATTTTATGAGAGATATAATTAATCAAAATTTTGATCCTTTGGGGGGGGGGGGTGTACCAGAAGGATTTGCCAGGCATATTCAATCTTCACGCCAGATCGTGTGTTAATAGAAATATTGAAATTGGCAAACTTCGAAGACAATCGGACTTTTATTTCACATTTGGGGTGGATCAATATATCCAACCTTCGCACCGGATCTTGTGTTCATATAAATATTTGAATGTGAGAAATTTGAAGATACAAATTTAATAAGGGTATAATTATTCCAAATTTTGAGTTTTGTGGGAGAAGTGTTAGACGAAGTTGGCCGAAATTGCCCATTTTGGCACCCAACAAAGCCCATCTGCGAACTCGATCTAAGTTTTACAATAACATTACGATGTACCAAGTTTGGTTCGAATCGGATACTCCCTTCAAGATTTATGGTGCACAACAGCGAACAAGACAGATGGATGGACGGGCATCCTTAGATTGACTACAAATGCCCTGAAACGAATTTAGTCCAAAGGGACCCAGGGTCTTAAGTCGTTATTTCAATGCGGCACGTTTTGTCCGTATCAAATAATATATATCCTCTGTAGCCATATGACTGAAGGTCAAAAATGTTTAAAATATTTTTTTTAATTTTCAAAAATATTTTCAAATATCGTCACATTAATCGCAGAATTCCGTTGGACCATCAGAGCTATAGTCAAAAGCTCTTAAATTTTACTAAATGCTTGCATTTCTTAAAAAGATTTTGACATTTGTTTGCCTGCTGTATTACCATATCTTACTTTGCTTTTATAATTGACCGCTAGGATAAGTCAAGAAGGGAGCTCACGATTTGGTCCAACTTTCTTTTTTGTGGCAATTTTTCCAAATCATATCGGTTCATTCCTTTTGGTACTTTCCATAATTAGAACCTCTATTAATTTTAAATACAAACCTAAATAAATTAGTTCTACATTTAAATTGTTAACACCTCCCATCCAACTTTTCATTCACTCACCTTTCTTTAGATGTTTGCCCAGCAGTGATTTTTCACGATCCACGGACGGGGTGATGCCTAAAATTTGATTTTGTTTGACGGCAGGTGGCGGTGACAGGGAATCTCTAGACTTTTTGGCTACGCACAAATTCAATGGCTGGTCAAGACAAAGATCTTCAGAGGCGGCGACTGCAGTCGGCGTTAAGGTGTTATTCGTAGTGGCAATGCTGGGAATAGTAGCGCATCCACCTCCAACCCCACTCCCCACAGTGTGACCACCAATATTATCATCCTCACTTGTATCACTGGCCGAAGCACTTCGTGCCTGTTGCTGTTCGAACTGGGTGATCTGCTGCGAGTATTGCTGTTGGAAATTGCGCAAAATACTCTTGGGCGATTTGGCAGGGGCGGGGGGTATCGTTGTGGCCGATGAATTCGATGATTCGTCGTGTGGATCGCGCGATATCAGGGCGTTCGTGTTGTGCGGTAAGTTGATGTTCGTCGTCGTCGTTGTTGTTGTTGACATAATCGTATTGTTGTTGTTGCTGCCGACCGCATGTATGGCCGCATTTAAATCACGCAAACCCAAGATATCGGCTATGGTATGGGGGGTGGGACGAGTAGGTGGGCGGGCATAAACATGAGGATGCCATGTGGCAGACGCTGACATGTTCGTTGATGTTAAATGAGCCTCCGCCGATGCTGTGGGCGATAGATTTTGTCTCGTCTGTGGCGTTTTGGCTTGTACACCAATGGGCGGCGGTGAAGACATTAGCGTTTTATTGGCACCCGTAACGCCCACAATACTGCCGGTACCTCCTCCACCTCCGCCACTAATGGCTAATGCCGCAGAACTGTCATAGCCATTGGTGGCATAGCTGGCCTGCTTTGGTGGTGCCTCTAAAGATTTTTGTAAAAATGTTGTTTCACTTGTTGGTCTCTTCTCTTTAAGGTGGCTGTTGTTGTTGATATTTTGGTTGGCTGTCGTATCTGCCGTGCCATTGGCACCTGTTGCTGTCGCAGGAGATGATGCTGCCGCCAATGTTTGTTGTTGACTAGTTAAAGCTGCTATGGAATGCAGCTGATGATGAGAATGCTGGTGATGATGTTGCTGATGATTGGCATGATAATTATTGTTGTAAGCCTCTGTCGCATTGTTGCTGTTGTTGGCAATATGCTCATACATTGCTGCTGTTTGAGGTGTTGTCGGCGGCGGTATGGTCAGGGGACTACGATAAACATACGAACTTGTGGCCATCTTGTATTGGGCCTGTTCCAACTGATGCTGCTGCTGCTGCTCCGCGGCAAGTTTATAATCAGCTGCCGTTGCTGAGCTATAATGAATTTGTGGATAGAGCTGCTGTTGTTGTTGTTGCGAATGCAGCTGATGAGGATGCTGTGGATGCGGCTGCTGATGTTGTTGTTGCTGCTGTTGCTGCTGTTGCTGCTGATGTATGCTGTAATATTTTTGGGCCACCGACGTTTCGAAAACGGGCGCATGTGCCGCACCACTGACCATATCTGTTGTTGCTGCCGCCACGTCACATTCAATTTCGGGCATCATTTATAAACATTTGGTTGGTTGTTTTTTTTAGCTATTCTTGGTATTTAGTTGGAAATGGTTGGAATTTTCGATGTCAAAATTCACACATTTGATTAGCTGCAAAGAGATATTAGAAAAATGTTAAAAAATTAGTCTTTTGTAGGTTTTCTTGGAATACTCGTAAAAGAATTTTAAAAATTTATTTTTTTAGGACTCTTAACATAATCGTCGATTTTTCAAAGAATATTTTTAAAGAATGAGTAATTTTGAATTTTTTAAATCTTTTCAAATGACATTCAAATTTTATTTTTCCAGGACATTAATAAAAAGCGTAGATTTAAAAAAAAATAAATAAAATAAATAAATAAAATTGAGGAGTAAGTCCTTTTGGATTTTGTTTAAATCTTTTCCAAGAATATTTAATATCAAAATTCAATTTTTCAGGACTCTTATCATAACTAACAATTTTTTTTAATTTTTTTGGGAATAAATCCTCTTAGATTTTTTTGAATTTTTTTTTTCAAAGGACGTTCAAATCTATAATCCTTCCTTTAAAATAAAAGTAATTTTTTAAAAATAAGTCTTCAAAAAACCAACTGCTAAGCATTGATTTTAAGGAATAATGTTTCAAAGCATCGTCAGAGGTAAAGTCGATTATTTATAAGGACCCTATTTTGGCCAAGGATTTCCAAATTCATAGTCGTTAATTTTAAAGCTTTGTTAGAGTAATAATCGATATTTTCAATGACCAATCTAATCAAAGGACCAGCTGTGATATAATTGTGGATATTTTTAAATTTTTGAGGTAGTAACAATTACCTACAAAAAGAAGAGGCAGGTGTAAAGATTTTGGATTTGAAAAAATTTTTAATAATGGATTAAAAAATTATTGACCACCAGAACTGTCATAGCTAAAATATGTTTTTATTTTCTCCGTTAATTGACTTTAATTTATTTTTTTTTATAAATTAATTTTTGTACCGACTTTTTTCAATGATTTTAAGAACATTTATTCAATCATTTTTCATCGCAGTGACCGAAAAATGGCTCGGTAGCTGAACATATCGCAATATTCCATTCGTCTAATATTGAAAAATGAGGTCGGGGTAAAGCCATTGATATTCCAAAAAGTGCAAGAACTTACACCGCAACGGAAAGAAAATAGACTCAAAAGTTAAAGAGTTGCTTCGCTTGGCCGAAAGTGGTGAACTGCCGAATTTGGTTTTCTCCGATGAGAAAACATTCGTTGTCCAGCAGTTTGTAAACCATCGAAATGATCGTGTTTACTTGCCAAAGAAGTCAGCTGAAAATGTGCACCTTCGGTTGGCCACTAGAACTTAAGCGCAAGCCATGGTGATGGTGAGGACGTTATAACAGCCGATGGTCGCTCTCCGCTCGTATTAGTCGACAGTGGCATCAGAATAAACTCCGAATATTATCGCGAAAATATTCAGTCTTGGGCACGCAAACATTTTGGCCAATCCTACAGGACTCAGCACCATCCCACTCGGAACGCGCCACCCAAGAATGGTTACAAAATTAGGTTCCTCGCTTAATTTCCAACGCACAATGGCCACCAAAATCTCCGGATACCAATCCGTTGGACTATTGTGTCCGGAGTATTTTGACACTAAAAAATACCAAAGTGTCGATCACCTCAAGCAAGCGCCAAAATATCGCAGAGCAACATTCAGGCAGCGTATGACGGTTTCATTGGCTGTTTGAGGGCCATAGTTTGTGCCAAAGGTGACCAATTCGAACAAATCTAAACTTATTCTAAAATTTGATGCTATTTCGGACAGTTTTTGCCTTCATTCAATAAACTTTCAAAAAAATTTAAAAAATTATGGCGTTTGACTTTGTTGCATTTTTTTTAATCTCACGCTGTAGATAATATATTTTTAAAACATAGTTTTCCAGGTCCAGGTTCTTTTTTTCAAAACCCGACGTAATCATCGTCTTTTAAAATATTTTTGTGTAAAGTCCGACATACTTGTAGTTTTACTTTCTATATTCCGACATAATCGTGGAATCAAAGAAAATTAAATTCAAAATCTCTGAAAAATGCGGATCCGTTAGATGTCTTGTTAAAACTCCAATAAAAATCGTGGATTTTTTAGAAAATATTTTTTCAATATATTTTTTTTAAATATATTTTTTAAGGTTCCAAAATAATCGTGGTTTTTCAGAAATATTTTTTTAAGGTCCCGATAAAACCGAGGATTCTTTTTTAAAGCCCCGAAATAATTGAGTTTTTTAAAAACCGACAAAACTGTAATTCCATTTGTAAACCTTTTTCAAAAATGTTTTTTAGGCTCCGATGTACTCCTGGATTTTTTTAAAAAAATATTTTGAAGGCTCGTGGATTTTTATATTTTTTTCTTTGATACGTGGGTATTTTGTAAAACAAGTAAAAAACCTGTAAATTTGAATACCCTCCACCATTTGGAAGGAATTTGACAATTTTCAAAAAAATAAAATACGTTAAAAATTTTGTTAAAATTTTAAAAATACCGAATGTAGACGTTAGGGTCTATACGACGACGTGGACCTGCATAGATAACTTTTGTAATTAATCATTACAATATTCAAATGCAAAACTTTAAAAAAAATCGGTGAATAATGTAGCTAAAATCATAAAAATACCGAATATATAGAGGTACTATTATATGGGGGCTATACCAAAACATGGACCTGCACATTCAATTTTCTGTGATAGGCTGTAGTATCCATTAAGAACTTCAAATATCAAATTTGAAGCAATTCCGGTGCATAATGTCGGACGAACATCGCTATATCGACACAGAACTTTATGCTGATCAGGAACATATATATACTTTGTGGGGCCTAAAATGTATGTTTCGAGGCGTTACAAATGGAATAACAAACTTATTATCCATACTGTGGTGGAGGGCATACAAATCAATGAACATATATTTCTTTAATTTTTTTGATCAGAGCTCGTGCATTTTTAAAGGACTATCAAACTTGAATAACTTAAAGATAAAGCTTAAAATTACATTCTTCATTATGTTTCAATAAATTAACTAACATCAAGAACCATAATTAACTTTCATTCTGCTCTAGATATTAATAACAAATTGCACATTGTAACGAGTTAATCTGTATACAAATGAATGAATCTATACACACACACACACCCATATTGAGATAAGAGCGAAAATTTTGTTTTCCATTTGACTTAATTTCAATACAAGCTTTAAATATAGAAAAATACCTCCCTCTACCTCCGGTTTGACTTAATTTCCATGAATATTTACTATTTATTCAACTACTATGGCAATTGTATTAAATACTCGACACTGGTGAAGCAAATGAGTGGAATTCAAATATACACTCACACACACACATCTACGAATACAAATAGTTTTGAACAACAACTAAAGTTTATTATGGTATCCTACCCATACATATATTTAAAACCTTTCATTTCAATTCAATTAAGGCAATTAATTAAATGTACGTTGAGTGCAATGTACACATACACAGTTATACATACATACATACATACATCAAAAAAAAAAAAAATACACACAGTCAACAAATACACATTCAAATTGCTATTAATTCATTTTAAATGGTTAAACTTCGAATTTATCCTATTCGGTTTAATGGCACGACCCTATGGCATGGCAAAAGAAGGGGAATAAAAGAACCAAAAAAAAAAAACAAAAACAGATATTAAAAACTAGTTCATTTATTGCCATGGTTTTTCTGGTTCCTAGTAGAAGTACTCGCTCTATGGAGCGAGGGCGGAGTGAGAGTATGAAAATAAGGGGCACAGCATATGGTTTCATGACATCTGTATATATATGTGTGTGTGTGTGGCAAACATAGTTGTTCTACAATAGTTAGCGTAGTCATGTCCCTCCCCCGTAGAAACCACAAGGGCATAACTACAAATACAATTTTTGCACTCTCTTTTCACTCCCTTTCTTCATATCTGCTGTACCTCACCATCATTATTCCCATTCTCAACATTTTGCATGACAGCTGAATGTTGGGTACACTAGTAAATTAAATATGCCATAATAATTTGACTCTATTGCACTTGAGGAAAGCACAGATTCCTGCAGCAAGGATGCCGGCTCCTTTGGTAGAGGGATGTTTGTAAAATTTTGTGGGACAACCTTAAGAGTTTCCTTGGCAATTTTTCTTAGATCTGCAAGCTATGTGTGTTTGCGGAAGGTAAAATTTCAAAGTTCGAGTCGTATTTTAAAAATTTTTGTTTAAAGTATGACGAAATTGTAATTTTGTTTTAAAATTATTTTCAAATATATTTTTCAAGGCTCCGGTATAATACTGGATTTATATTTTCTCAAGGCTCGTGAGTTTTGAAATGTCATTCAAAACATGTGGATTTTAAAACAGGAATTCATCGCATGTAATTTTTTAAGACTGAAAAAAATTGGAAAATATTTGTTCAAGGTTCTCGTTTCTATTTCAATTTAATTTTTTGTTAAAGCTCGTGCATTATTGGAAAAATATTTTCTAAGACAAATGACGTTTTTAAAATGTTTTTTTTTTTTTACAAAATTTAAAATATTTTTTATTTTTTTAATTGTTTTTCAAGACTCGTAGCTTTTTTTTGAAGCTTTTTTCAAGAATATAAGTTTTGTAGGACCATTTGAGATATAATCTAGGTATTTTCAATTTCCAAGCTCGAGAATGATCTTTGGAATACGTTCGAAATTCTAAAAATCTGCATTTACCCAATATTCCATCTGAATCCCTCTAGAGCCATTCTCTTTCCAAATTTAAGACCTGTCTATCGCTTAATAATAGTTCTGATTTTTGATTTATTTAAAGCACAAATTGAAAAAAAAAAAAAAAAAAAAACATATTCCTCAATCTCAGTTCTTATATTTCAAAATTTTAATTTTGTTGTTTTTTTTTTTCGCCTGATAAATGAAAATGTTGTATTTTTTGTAACTATTCGATAAATTTATAACTTCGATAAATTTATAACTCGATAAATTTATAAAATCAAACCTTATCTTATTGTACCCTTCACCATACTATGGAGGGTACATTAACTTTGTAATTCCGTTTGTAACATTATTCTTGATCAGCATAAAACTCAATGTCGATTTAGC